CCCCCCCCCCCCACGTGTCCTCTCTTTTGATTGTGGAAATATGGTAACCCTATGAAACATTCCTAGCCTTTGCATAGGATTTGGATTTTGCACATTGTAATAGTAGTCCACACTATACCCTGAGCAGCGGGGAGGTGGAGAGAGCATTTCAGATTTAAAAAGACTTCTGCAAAAATCAGTGGACTCATATAAAGCACCACAGGCATATCGGTTAGCACCGCTTGTGTCTGGATTATTTCCAGTAGAACTTCTAATGGGACGATATCTACCTGTGGCTCCGATACAGCTTAAACTGAAGTGGGCATACCTGAAGGAATTTAGAAAATGGAATGCTAAAATAAAAATTTGGCAGCAACAATACTTCAATGTTCAGCACAAAACAAAAGCACTTTCTGAACTGAGACCAGGGAACACAGTGTGGCCCAAAAGTTGCCAGAGTTTCAGAATTACTCTGAACTTGGCAGAAACTCCCAAATGTTACCTAATGGCAACTCCAAAAGGACTTCTCCAGGGGTCTCTGGTTCATTTTCAGTATTTCCCAACACAACACCAAGGGGATCTGGGACCTGTCAGGAACTGAGCCCCCTCCACAGGGAAACTCAACAGAAATGAGGACACTGTCTGAAGACTGGTCAGACCCCCTCAAAGACTTGATCTTTAAAATACTGCTCAGGACTATGTAAATGCAATTCATAAGGGGACATACTAGTGTAAATAGTTTTAAGGAATTTGACGTTTATTTTGTGTGTGTGTGTGTGTGTGTGTGTATAATATATATACACACCAGAGGTGGCCAAACCGTGGCTTACGAGCAGCATGCGGCTCTTTTACAATTAAACTGCGGCCCACGGAGTGCCCCCTACAGCCTCTCCTCCATTCTCCATCTACCAGACTTGGGGGGAGCTCGGGGCTTCTGCCCTGCAGCAGTGTGGTGGGGCTTCGGGCCGGGTGAGATGGGGGGTCTTGGGGCTTCAGTCTTGTGGGGTGCACCTGCCGAATATCATGGCTTCAGCAGGAGAGGGGCTGAATCCCCAGCAGGCACACCCCATGGGGCTGAAGCCCTCAGACCCCCTCCCCACAGGGCAGAAGCTCCTAGCCCCACCACCCTGCTTCAAAGCAAAAGCCCCACTCTGACTGGCACGCCATGACTCTCGGACTTCTGAAGATTGTCGTAAGTGGCTCAGAGGGTCAGTAAGTTTGGCCACCCCTGGTATACACGGTTGATAATTTAAGTTTTAATTTTTTATTAGAAAGAAAATAGGATGTGAAGTAGCCAGAGAGTTCCTGGTCATCAACAGTTACGAGAGAGGACCAGGATGTGTTGCAGTGGGGAGCTTAATAAATGTGGGAACTTCTTGGTCAGGGAGTTTTCTAGTTGCTGCTTAAAGCATGACTTTGTGTCTGTCCTCACACTAAAGTGATGATACCCATATCTGATCTAAGGAAGCC